GCCCAGCGCAGGGGTGCTCTGTGCAGATGAGGGGGTAAGTACCATTCTTGTCGGGGTTTGGGGGAAACCCCCTGACGGGTTTGCTGCGGAGGCGCGGGCGCAGACGAGCCTGTGTCCCTCCCTGGGCTGCGTGACGGGAGGGGCCGCGCTGGGGGTGACGGCCCTGGCGGCGCAGGCACTTGCGTAGGCCCCTGCACGGGGCCCTTCGCGCCGTGAGGGGGCGGGGCCGCGGCCGCGCTGAGGCGATGGGAGGCGGCGGGGTCGGGCTGCGGCTGGCGCTGTTCGGAGCGCGCCTGGCAGCGACGGCGAGCGCGGGGCAGGGCGGCTCGGGACCCGGCAGCAGGAGCCTCTCCGCCATGGTGAGAGACAGGCGGCTGCCGCCCGGGGGGTGCGGGAGGGCAGCAGACCGGTGAGAGACAGGCGGCTGCCGCCCGGGGGGTGCGGGAGGGCAGCAGACCTGGGGAGCTCCCCAGAGATAATGGGGCAAGCGAGCAGCGACCCAGGGGCTGGGCAGGGCGAGTCCCCCAGGTGGCGGGGGGTGGACAGAGGAAAGCCCCCTAGGAGCAGGAGTCCTGGTCTTCTCTCCTAAGCTCAGCCCTAACCCACGCCCCGCACTCTGGGGACCCCATTCCAGATGTTACTTGTGCTGGATGCTTCATAGTAGGATCATCCCTCTTCTTCCCTCTGCGCTGTGAAAGAGCGAACTGCCTGGACACGGACATCCCCATCATTAGGGTTCAGAGCCAACGCTGCTGAGATAAATATGGCAGTTCACCTCTGCCAGAGCTTTTGTTTCATGCTGTCTGCAGAGGTAGTTGGGCGCCTACCTCTACTTAGGCGTGTTTTGTGATTTTTCTTTGCCTTTATAAGGATTTGATGCTTAATTTGTTGGGGTTTGTTTTAAATGAAAATTTTAATTGTGGAGCACAAAATGTAGCTACCATGAAGAAAATACTTTCCAGTCACAGCATCGCAAATTTGTTTGATTTGTTTCCTGCTAAAGGGCCAGATTAGGTGGGTAAGGGGGTGGCTTTCTGGGGGTCAGATGGGTATCAGCCCCTGAAGGCAGGCAAGAATGACTTCCCCAGAGAAATGGGGTGAAGGATGAACAACAGCCTCTGAAAATGTTGCATGATCTGTTTTGTATATCACCAGTGATGTGCAAGGCGCGATTCACACTGAAGCAAATAACAATTGGTTTAAAAAGTTCTCCCAACTCTTGGTGCTTAGTTTAATTAAATATTCAAGGGAAAATGGTGGGAGATAATGGACTCAAATGCGCTTTTAAAATCCTCCCAAACTAAGGAACTAAGAAATTACTATTCTAATCCTCATGTGCATGATTACCCATCAAAAAACTTTTCCTGCTGGACCGACTTTGATGTTCCATTTACCAGCTGAAAGCTCATGATCTGTCAATGTGAGAAGCAACTTTGGTTCTTCATATCTGTCAACATGTGAATGGGTGGGTTATGTAGATTTGATACTGGGAAGCACAGGATTTATAATTAGGAGATTTGAGTTTTATTTCTAGCTCTGACACAAATTCACAATTTGACCTTGAGCAAGTCACTTGACCTGTCTGAACTTCAGGTTACCCATTTTTAAAGTGGGAGTAATACCTGATTCCTAGGGTTGCACAGAAGTGCAATTCACTCATATTTGCGGCCCTGCCCTGGAAGGTTCTAAAGAAGTGAAAGGTTTCAGAGTAGCAGCCGTGTTAGTCTGTATCCGCAAAAAGAACAGGAGTACTTGTGGCACCTTAGAGACTAACAAATTTATTAGAGCATAAGCTTTCGTGGGCTACAGCCCACTTCTTCGGATGCATGCCCACGAAAGCTTATGCTCTAATAAATTTGTTAGTCTCTAAGGTGCCACAAGTACTCCTGTCCTTTTTAAAGAAGTGAAAATTATCTTGTGCAGGTTGTCTGAATGTGATTTTCCTGGGCAAACCAGTTGATGGAGCTTTCAGGCTGTGCCCAGTTTATCCATCTAAACCTTGATTGCCCCAGATGCTCTTCACACCCAGCCCAGCCATCCCATCTCCTAATTCCTCTGAACGCAGAGTCCTTTAAAAGCCACTGCGTGGAAAAAAATGTACCAAGTATGTATTAGGCAGAATAGTAAATCTGCTAAATCAAAGGAATACCAAAGTTAGGATGCTGCATGGGCCTAGGAGCCAGGATCCTGAGTAGGAGTATGGTAATTCTTTAGGAATTATCCTTGGGGTAGTTGAATTAGCTCTTTATCTAGTATTGCTAATAACTAAACTGTATCTTTAAATGTTCATCTAAATGTGGGTTATTGCTGATTATGTACTATATGTACTGTATGACTTTTAAACCAACCTTTGTACTTTCACATAATTTAAGCACTATACCCAGATGTACAGATGCTCTTTTCTTAACCTATGTATTATATAATTTTAACGTTAGCTTTAATTAAAAAAAAGTAAATCTGTTTCAGTCTTGGATCTACCCCCTCTTCTCTCAGAAGATATGATTATTTACATCCCCTGCATTTCAGTCTCTATAAAGCATAGGCAGTCTGACATCAAGTAATAGTAATACATAATTTTGCATATATGATTATCTAATAGCCGCCCCCATTGCCCCCAGAACATATTTTATTATGCAGATCTTTGATACAGGATAATGGATACTTTGGCATCAGACGCCTCTCTTTCTTTCCTGGACTACTTTCAAATAAAGCTGTTATTTTTTAACTAGCGTAGGGCCCAGGATATAATCAGTAAATCATGGGTCAGTTTTGTATGCTAAGTCTTATGTTTACATTTCAGTGTCCATACTCTGTTTGTTTTTGTTGTACCTTTCCACCTCTTCAGTGGGTTTGCACTGTGCTTCATTGGGTGTTACCACAGATACATACATGTGAGCATGTTTCTGGAGCTTGCACCTCCTTAAAGTTGTCTTAAAATAAATCAGCATGTGCTCAGTATACTGCTTTTTACTAAACTTTTAAAGTCAGTGGCAGGTGCACGTGTATTTGCAGCCAGAATGCAGAACTTGGCTTTTACGACCATTATTTCTAAGTTAAATTTCTTCAGTGTCAGAAGAGCTGCTGTGCACTGAGGACCAGGCCAGTGGCAAACAAAATAAATCTATTTATTAAAATCTGATTATTAGCTCTGAAATGAGTGGATGGACTCTCCGTTACTCCAGTGGGGTTTGGATAAGGCCTGAAGAAAGCAACTGAAATGTCTTAACTGGTTCTAAAAAGTAAGAACACAAAAATCTCCAACAAAACAAAACAATTTTACATCCTGGCTGACTATAAACATGATAAATTTCAGCCCAGAGACTATCTGTACATGCTTTAAAACAGGCTTAAAGGGAAATTCTAATCAATAAATGTTCCTATAGCAACACTAATATATATGTTTGTGGAACATTAATTTTGTATGAAAGCAAGGCACATATTTTATAAGAAAGACTAGATAGACTAAATTGAAATGTTAGTTTTTGGATATTTAAAACTTGTCTGTTAGAATGGGTGAATCCAGTTGAAAACAATTGTTTAATTAGTTGCATTAACTGCATCTGTACAGAGTGCTCTTTTTATCCTCACTGTTAGTGAATGGGTTATATTTGGCTTCTTGGAGTTAATTAGTAGGTTACAGTAATAAGTATATTTCATCTGTAAATGATGCATGTGTGTTTATCATTACTTTCTGTGCCAATATCATTCAGTAATAAGGAACAATCTTAAAACCTTTCTGCTGCTTAATTAGAATTAATTGAATTAACTTCTGATTTGACATGCAGCACCATCTAGTGGTGAAGTGGTAACTTTATATTTATAATAAAGATGTGTACAAAGGTACAGCACTTATACACATACACAGCAGACTATATTTTCAAAAAAAGTTCACATCAACATTGCCAAATGAGTGTATAATTAAGTGTGAGAACATAGCAGGTGGACTATACATGGTCTGGCACTTCTAGAATGAAGTATACACACACTTTAAAATCGTCAAAATAAAAACTGTTTACAAAGTCAGATATATTGGGTGGAACTCCCATCTTAGATTCTATTTTGCAGTTTTTGGTAGATAATCATTCAGCTAATTGCCAGTAAGTTTTCAAAAATGAGGATGGTTGATTATTAATATATGCAAAGACAAAAGGCAACTGAGAATTTCTGTTCTACCTATTAATGAAGTGGGTTTTAGCCCATGAAAACTTATGCCCAAATAAATCTCTAAGGTGCCACAAGGACTCCTCGTTGTTTTTGTACTACCTATTGTGTTCTTAGAATGAGTTTGGGATGGGTCTGTGACCAGGGACAGAAAATTGGATAATCCACCTTTGGGTGAAATACTTGGATTTTAGCTAAAATCAAGTTTAATATCTCATACATTCTGTCAGAGGGAGGGAGTGTGTTCTGTATTTTCAGGGAGAAATTTAATAAACTTTTAGGATCTTATTCTACTCTCAAGATCGGATTCTGACCTCATACCAGTTTTAGGTCCTGATTCAGCAAGGTACTTAAGCATGTGCTTAAATAGTTAGCGTGTGTGTAGTTCCATTGACCTCAATAGGGGAGAACTCATTTGCTTAAAGTTAGACAGATACTTAAGTACCTTGCTGAGTCTGGGCCTTTTAGTGGGAACTCTATTTAACTGAGTTACTTCTGGATTTGTAATGGAATGAGAGTGGCCCATGCTTTATATCCTTATACAGAACTCCTCAGTGCTGTCTGTGGAATGCCTTGGGCAAATTGGGGGTAGCACATATCCTTAGTGCCGGATTGTTTTTCTTTTCAGTGCCAGAGAGAAACTATGTTACTATTTGAGTTCAGTAACTATCTTGCTTTTTGTTTTTTAAACTTTCTTCTTAGGAAATACAGGGTACAATAATTATACATAATACACAGTGATTTCTGGTATAATCTGTGCTTTTCTAATTTAAAATTGGTCATGCTTAGTATTTTTCAGGTGATATTCCCCTTTTAACTTCAACTAATTACATTTAACTTTAATATTTAAATGAGGGGAAATGGCAAAATTGGATTGTCATCAAATATTTCAAGCTTCACAGTATATGGATAATTCAGATAGGCCTAGTATAAATGAAAGTAATAATACTACTGGACAGAGGTATTATTGAGTCCATATTTCATCCCAGCAAAAGAGTAAAAAACTCTTATATGCAAGCACATAACTATTTTGGTGAATTAAGTTTGGTTATGTTTCATGGCTCAGTTAACTGGCAAGAGATGGTGTTCTGTTAAATTATAAAGTGGAACAAAACCGCACAGTAAATTTTCTACTTCTGTTGTCCTGAAGGATTATATTTTTGAAATGCATAAATCATAATTTCAGCACATAATTTTCTTATTGTTGTGTAAAGAAATGAGAGGACATTAACCCTAGTTCTGGAATGTATTTCTTTTTCTTTATAGTCTTCACAGTCTCACTGGTTGACAACAGAGGAAAGGACCCAAGTTTTACTTGACCTCAAAGCTTCAGGATGGTCTGAGCTGGGTGAAAGAGATGCCATCTACAAAGAGTTCAATTTCAAAACTTTTAATCAGGTAACTATTGCTATATATTATTCCTAATATAAAAGGAAATGTAATTATCCTAGTTTGTATTGTGTTCCTAGTGAAGAGATGTTCACATCCACAAATCTAGGAGTATTTGGGACCAAATCCTGTTTGCTTTCCTCATGTCAGTAGTGTCACTGAAGTTATCGAGCAAGATTCTAATCTCAGTTACCCAGGTGTAATTCATTGACTTTATTGGCATTGTTCCACGGTAAGGCAAGCAGAATTTTACTCTTGATATCTTTGTTATTACTAGCAGTCCTAACTCAATGATAAAAATATTTGGCTATCAAGAACTTTACAAAGGTGCGTAAGAATGAAAGTACTGATATTTACCAAGCCAAACCTGGGGGAAAAATGTGAAGAGAAGTGTCATAAAACTCACCTTTTATACAGGAAGGGAGTGTTATGGTACTGTCTTGAATGAATTGCAATAGACACTCTGTGAGGCTACCTTGGTACAGCAGATTGTAAACCCTGTTGGGCTTGAATTTTAAGTCAAAACCCTGGGCCATACTGTGTCATCAATTTTTAAGAATTTTAAAATTTGAAATCAGAGATGAAACCTGCTTTGAAAATTGGTGGCACCATATGGCCAACTGTTATTTAATATATTTTCTTAAGATAAGATTGTCAACTAGATTCTTGCTACCATATCTCATTTCGGAAAGAAAATTTGATTTCTGATTAATCAAGTGAGACGTACAAAAAGATACAAGCTAGAAGAGGAATAATTAGCTGTATTATGGCCCTGCTAAATAAGACAAGAATTAGTCGTAACATACCCTTCCCATTTCAGTGCCATTAAACTTGGGTTTATTTGGAGAAAATGCATTAGTTTCAGTTATGTCTTATTTAATTTTCTCATTGCTCTTTTTTTTAAAACCTGGCCTTACTGATATTTATTGCACCTTTTATATAAGTGACCTATTTTTATTCTAGCTTGGATCTTCTTATGCAGATTTAGGGTCACATTATCAAAAGGTTAAAGCTTAGCCTTATAGCATGTGACTCTGCAATTGTGCACATGTTTGTGTGTAGATATCCACCCAATGTTTTTGAAAAATTGCCACTAAATGTGTTTGTTTAGGTCTCCTACTCCTCTTCCCCTCATTTCTATTGCTCGGGTACAGTCAATTTAACAATCCTCAGTTCTGATCAAAATAGTAGTAGATTGTTATATACTAATGATTAGCTGTGAAAGATCAGCTATTCTTACAGTTTTAGGCAGATGATAACCTACGTGTGGAATGGGAACAGATGAAGATAATTCCCAGTTCCTACTTTATTTTTGAAAGGGCTATGCTCTCCCAGGGGTGAAGGGTAAGATTACATTTTTTTTAAAAATGCCATATTCCTCTGAAGATATCTCTTCTCCTCCTTCCCCCCCCTCCCCGTCCCATCCACACCACACTCAATTTGCAGTGTAATATCTATCTACATTTGTAGACTGAAGCATGTAAGTGTTGAATAATGTGCTGTTTATTCTCATGGCCATAATATAATCCAGACAAAGATCTTTAGGAGACCCTGTATGGTGAAATGTGAAAATGACAATTTGCAATGCCCACCCTTTTTAATATTTCAAATAGTTAATTGTCATAGTTAGGAAATTGCAGCCATTAGAGAGAACATAGAATAAAATGTGTGTGAGGTAGGGAGAAAAGAGCAGCATCGCTACAATACAGAGCAAGAGCAGGTACAGAACTGCACGTGAATTGCACTTTAAACCTGGGAGTTAATAATAGAACAAAACAAACAACTTTAATAAAACAAATTATGAGGCAATGAAGGAGGGGGAAACTATGAGAGGGAGTTTACATGAGACCTGGGTGGGAGAACTGGAGAGCCAAGGACCGAGGGATAGCCACTCCTCTGCATCAAACTGTAGGCGCTGAGTTTACAGCTTTCACGCTTCGGGCACTCTTGAAAGTGTCCATGCAACGGTGTAATTGGAGAGCTTGTTGGCTCAGCATAGCTGGAAATGCTTTTTTAAAATTAGCGTAAAGTAGCCTTTGTATATTGCAAATAAGTGAAATAAATCATTTCTGCCGTTCATCTTTAGGCAGTGGACCTGAAGACTATATACCAAAGAGATGAGAGCAAACAGCCCTGTAATAGAAATCTGGAAAACCCAGCAGCTTAGATCAGTGAAGACATCAGAAGGAGAATTAAATAGTTGATTTTTTTTTTTTTAAGGCTTTATCCTTGAAATGTTACAGGGTAGAAATTAGTCAGCTATTCATAAAGTTGCAAGTCCGAGAGAGAGACATGAAGAGGATGCTAGAGTGGAAAGTCAAAATATATTTAAATGTACACCGTAGGTTATACTAAGCCTAAAGCTAATAGTCTGTTTTTTTCTGGGTTCAGAATTGGCTAGGTCTCACCCCATCAAATATATCATCCTAATGGTCCTTTTTTGAAATGTCTATTCCAGTTGGGTGGAAGATATTGGTGGGTGCTCAGTGTGCCCCCATTCCTGCTTGACCCTTAAAAGTGTTAGATGAAAAGGGCTACGCAAGAGCTATTATTACTCTGAATGATTGGAAATTGGCTTAAGAATTCAAAACTTCTGGCACTTTCAGCTGTGTGTACCACTGGGTAAACTAACAGGGGCCAAACTGTCTACACTGTTTTCATTGCGGTCAAGGGGGCTACATGTATCTATATGAGGGCAGAGTTTTGCCCTTAAGCATTTAGAAAATTGGGGCAGCTGTGGTGATGTAACATCGCCATTTGAAATTTCAGGCTGTAGAACAAGTTGGTGATCTCTTAGCCTTGGGGAATGGCTTAAGGTGGAATTTGGCTAGAGAATGCGTGAATGTTTGCAGAGAGCAAATGTTTGTCTCCTGGGAAGGTGGCACTGAAGATAAACTGAACTGGTATATTTTAATTCATCTACCAATGTTTACATTTACTAATGTCCCCATACAACATTTACTTATTTATTGGTACGTCTCAAAAGCATATTACAGATCAGGGAAACAGAAGTGCCAAAAATGGAGCTAGCTACCTGCTTTGTAGAGTTTTGCAGTCAATATGCTGTCCTTTAATAAACATGGACTTTTAGGTGTAACTTTTTATTTAATAAATCTTCTGTTTACAGAACTTAGTGTGAATATTTAGTAAAAGTCAGACAGCCAAGAAATACAATTTCCTCTATGATCTCCATCCTGCCCTTTTACAGATGGCATAAAATCAGGTGTGTAAAAAAAAAAAAAAAACAACCCCAAACCTGAGCAGTTGAACTGACATGAAAGGTATTTCAGATTTATGTTTTGCAGATGATATGAGTATGATTAATGTATTCATTGTTTCTTTATTGCTTCCCACAGATAATGTGCATGATGCATGGAAAATTCTGTGGCTTTAAAATCTATGCCAGGTTTACAAAGACTATGTATGTCAACAGATGTTAAGAATATAAACAGAGTTTTTATTATAAAGTCGCTCAATTGCGTAGACATGAACGTGGTTTATGTATATCATTTTCAGTATGAGGGAGAATGAAATGAAACTTCTGTGAAATGAGAAAGTTATTTAGATTCCTAAAGCTTTCAGACTGAGATTAACTTGTTTAAAAGCGATCAGAAATTACGCTTCTGGCTTGGGAAATTATTTTATTACAGGACTTCACTTGAAACCGCTGGTGGTGTTTGTTTTTTGAAGATAAATTTTATAAAAATGGGCTTTAGAGAGTGATTTTCAGAAAATGAGTTGGAAAACAGTTTGAAATGTTCCTAAAATAAGTCCGTGACTGTACTTCCTGTTGTCAGTCCTTTTCTCTGCTATAATTGCCATTGCATGCTAGTTGTGATGTCCTGGTTTGAAAAAAATATGGATGTATATAGTGTCCTCCACCCAACCCTACCCAGAAAGAAAAGCATCTGGTATCCATTGCAGCTTGTTCCCCATCCCTCATTTGGGCAGCTTCTATGACTGAAATGTTAGTTTCCACTTTCTCCTCATAGCCATATTATCATCATTGCTGTTCACTCCATTCCCTACCAGCTGGGGGGACTGAGGCATAAGAAAATCATGGTATCTAATCACTTCAAACTTGTCCACAGTAAATCTCAGAATCCTGTAATAGCTCTGGTCCCATCATACATGGTCCCATCTTCACTGGAGACAGCCATCTGTACAGCCTGATATTGATGCATCCTGCCATGTTCACAGTTTTGTTTTTTTTTTTTACAATTACAGCTTCTGTTTTGACTGACAAGACAACAAACACAAGTAGGGTGAACATACGTCCCGTTTTGGCCAGGACAGTTCCCTTTTTAAGCCTTGTCCTGGATGTCCTGACTTTCTTGGCGAAAGTGGTCATTTGTCCCATTTACTTTCGCCAACTTATCAGTTGGCAAGACCAAATGGGACAAATGCCCAGTTTGCCAAAAAAGTGAGGGGTTCCTCCCTCCCTCCCAAGGGAGTGTGGAGGAACTTTGGGGGAGGCAAATGATGACACCAGATGCTGGGCCTCGGGCTGTTAGCCCTATGCCACAGGGAGAAGGGGGGGCCTTGGGCCCGCCCTGTGCAGTATCCCGTTTTCCTATGGGAAATATGGTCACCCTAAACATTGTTGTCATTGTCTGTTTTCCCGTTGCATCATTTCTCCATTCTTCTGCCCTCTATTTGTGTGAACTGGCAGGCTACAGATGTTTATGAGACTATTGCCTTTTAAAATGGGGTTGTGGAGAGAGATAGCGGAAGAAAAAGAAAAAAAGTAATCTGTGCTTTCAAGCCACTTTTTGTATTACATAAAAGAAACATGTTTTAAAGACTCTTAATTTCTATTCCCAAGTGACAGATACAGAAACAAAATGCCTATTACTCACTGATAGAGCAACCAGTCCATTTCAATTTGCCAAAGCAAAAGTCTGGGTCAATGAGAGTTACAAAAATACTGTCATTACTTCAGGAGCCTGACTAGCAATGTTTGCTAATGCATTTTTTTTTCTTTACTGATTTACTGAAATCTCTGGCAA